GCCGGGGGGCGGCGGGGGGGGGTCCTGCTGCAGCCCCCGCGGCGCCAGCGCAGCCTCACAGGGCCCACGGGAACCCACGGGAACCCACGGGACCCCACGGGAACCCCTGAGACCCCCCGAGACCCCACGGGAACCCACGGGGGTCAGGGGATTCCTGGGGGGCAGGGGATGCCCGTGGGCCCTGCAGGGTCCTGAGCCCACAGAGTCCCCCCTGTGCCACCATGGGTGTCCCCACAGGGACAGGGACCCCCCCCAGGACCCTGGATCCTACAGAGGCATCCTACACGGAACAGCATCCCAAATCCTGTGGGGCTGTGGATCCCACAGCGTCCTGGATCATCCTACATCATCCTGCATCACCCCACAGCCTCCTACATCATCCCATAGCATCCTGCATCATCCCAGGGCCTCCTGCATCATCCCATAGCATCCCATATCACCCCACAGCCTCCTGCATCATCCCAGGGCCTCCTGCATCATCCCAGGGCCTCCTGCATCCTGTGGCATCCCCCACCCCAGAGCCCCGTGGGCTCCACAGAACCCCACGGAATCCCACAGCACTGTGGATCCCACAGAATGCTGCATCCTGTGGGGCTGTGGACCCTGCACCATCCTGCATCCCACAGCATCCCACAGCATCCCACAGCATCCTGGGGATCATGGATCCTGCATCCCAAAACATCCCACAGCATCCTGTGGGACACGGACCCTGCATCCCACAGCACTGTGCACCCTGCAGCATCTTGGGGACCACTCCCCATCCCAGGGCATGGTGCCCCAGCACCCCCCGTGCCCCCCCCGTGGCTGCAGCCCTGGCAGGAGCGGGCACAGGGACCCAGGAGCACCGGGAACACCGGGAGCACCACTGGGAACACCGGGGCTGCTGCCTCTGTGCCAGTGACGAAAGCCCCAGAGCTGGCACTGGGAGGGAGCAGAGCTGTTCTGGAGGGGTCCCCTCAGTGTGGGGGGGCCCCACTGAGCCCCAGCCCCGCAGTGACCCCCAGGAGCCCGGGTGGGGCCAGGGGAGCAGGGGACACCCCGGGCTGGGCACCCCCGGCTGGCACCGTGCCCATGGCGTGGGGGGAATGGGGGGGGTCCCTGTCCCCTGGGGGGGTGGGGGGGGGTGACAGTGGGGGGGGGCACAGAGCCAGGCCCCCAGGGATTAACCCCCCCTCGCTGTGCCATGGGAAATGGGTCACCCAGAGATCGGGGCTGGCACTGCAGGAGCCCCGGGGCGGGGCGGGGGGGTCAGCGCACACGGAGCCCCCCCGGGCAGGCACTCACGTAGTCATGGAAGGCTTTGGCCTCGCTGGAATGCTCGCAGGTCTCGCGGCGGTCCGGGGCGGCGCAGTACAGATCCCAGAACACGCTGGGAAAACCAGAGCGGGCTTGGGATGGGTGGGGGGGCAGAGGGTGAGGACCCCCCCCCCCCCCAATTTACACAGCCCTGACCCCTCCCAGCGAGCCCCACGTGAGCCCGGCCACGCTCCGGGCCGGGGGGGCCGCGGCCGTGTCCCCCCTCCCTCGGCGGGGGCCTCCCGGCTCCTCCGGCGCTGCTTTCCCCGCCTGTTTTCCCTGGAAACGGTCGCTACGGCCGGAGCCCAAATTCCTGGGACTTTACATCAGGCTGCAGCATCCCGGCATGGGGGGGGGGGGTCCCCTGCCCGCGCCCCCCGCCCTGGGGCCGGGACAGCGCGGGGGGGGGGGCCCTGCCTGTGTCTGGGTGCCCCCCCAGGATTGGGGGGTGCTGGCTGGGTGCCAGGTTAACCCCCAGCCCCCCCTCGCTGTGTGTGCCCCCCTCCCCAAATCATCCCCGGATCACTCGCTGCCCATCCCCGAGCCCCCCACCCCCCATATCCCCACACCCTCCTCGGGGGGGGCTCTGCTGAGGCCCCCCCCAGCGCGGGGGTCCAGCCCCGGGGCCGGGAGCCCCCCCCCAGCTCCACTCTTGGTGCCAAATTGGATCCATCTGGAGGAGCCGGGCAGGGGGGGCCGGGATGGGAGGGAAAGGGGGGGCCCCCAAATCGCTGATGGGAAAAGCAGAGGGACAGGTTTGTGTTCATGGGGTACGAGGGGATGTGGTGGCAGAATGGGGGGGGACAGATCCCAGACCCCCTCCCAGCCCCTCTGCCATGGGAATGGGGGGTTCCCCCCCTTTCCAAGCCCCCCCAAAACCCAACTCACCACCACCAGGAGTGCAGGAAGCCGGGGGGCTCCCCCAGCGTGATGTTCTTCTCCCATCGGATCTGCGAGGGGGACATGGCCGGGGGGGGTCAGCAGGGATGGGAGCGGCTCCAGGACCCCCCGTGGGTGGCGTGGGGGGGTCCGGGGGCGCTGCCCTCCCCCCTTTACCTCCGACAAGAAGGTCTGGGCGGATTTCTGGGCCCCCACGTGCAGCAGGTACTCGTAGACGTAGAGCGCCAGCCTGGGGGGACAGGACGGGGACAGGGACAGCGTCAGGGCCCTGCCACCGCCACGGTGACACCCGCACCCAAGGGACCCCGAGCGACACGGGGAACAGCCGGGATGGAGCCCCCTCCCCTCAATTAGTGCAGGTTAATGAAGGAGGTTCGATGTCACCGCCCTGCGAGGGACCCCAGCGGTGGCACCGGGTGACTCCCACCGGTGACACCGCACGGCAGCAGCGCTGGGGTGGCTCCAGGACAGGTGACACAACCCACACAGGATGTGGCTCGGGGCCCGGTGCCACCACGCGTGTCCCCGCTGGCACCCGCGGAACCCCGAGCAGGAACGGGACCCGCGGGGTCCCCACGGGGGTCTCAGCCCCGCTGGGCGCAGCCCCCGGCCCCAGCAGCTGCCCCGGGGGGACCGCGGTGGCCTCGGGCACGGGGACACAGCCGGGAACGGCGGGGCACGGAGCGGGGACCGGGGGTGGCAGCGGCCGCGGAGCATCGGCAGCCCCGGGGCCATTCGGGTCCCGCTGCCCCGGGGTTGGCACGGCCAGGGAGGGCTCCCGGTGCCCTCAGGGATGCTGCGGACCGGGCACATCCCGGCTCCCGGTAGCCCCGGTGCCATCGCGGTCACGGTGCCCCGGGGGATGGCACTGACCGGGGGCACAGCCCCGGTCCCGGCGGGCACGGTGCGCTCGCGGTACCCTGGCGGAGGGCACGGAGCAGGGGGAGCAGCCGGGTCCCGGTGCCCCGGGGGATGGCGCGGTCGGGGAAGGGGCATCCCGGCCGCCGGTGCCCCCGGGGATGCCGCAGACCGGGGAGATCAGCCCGGTGCTCCCGCAGCTCGCGGTGCCCCGGGATATGGCAATACCCGGGGGGCACATCCCGGCTCCCGTTAGCCCCGGCGTGATCGCGACTCCCGGTGCCCCGGGGGATGCCACGGACCCCGGCACACCGCAGCTCCCGGCGTCCCGGGGGATGTCACGGATCGAGGGGGATCATCCCGGGTCCCCGTGCCCCGGGAAGACATGGACCGGGGGGATCATCCCGGTTGCCGGTACCCCGGGGAACGGCACAGATCGGGGGGAATCATCCGTGCTCCCGGTGCCCCGGGAGATAGCACGGACCGGGGGGATCATCCCGACTCCCGGCGCCCCGGGGGATGCTACGGATCGGGGGGACCATCCCGGCTCCCGGTGCCGCGGGGGATGCCGCAGACCGGGGGGCTCATCCCGGCTCCCGGTGCCCGGCTGACCCCCGCCAGCTCCCGCTGCCCCGCGGCTGCCGGTGCTCCCCGGCGGGGCGGGGCCGGGGGGTCCGCCCGCCCCCCGAGCTCCCCCCGCTTTTCCCGATCTCTCTTTCCCCCCCCCCGTCCCTTCCCGCTCCGTCCCCGCTCCCCCGGCGCCCGCCCCGGCAAAAACTTCCGCGCCCCGGCCGTCCCCCGCCGCCGCCCGGCGCCGCACTCACTTCTCGCGGGCCTGGCCGTCCGAGGGCACGCCGGAGCCCTTGCCCTTGGCGTACATGGCGCGGCGGCGGCTGTCAGCGGCCCCGGGCCCGGCCCCGCGCGGCCCCCGCCGCCCCCGCCGCCCCCGCCGCCATCCCGGCCCGGCCCGGCCCGGCCCCGCCGGCTGCGGCCGCGCGCCCGAGGGGGAGCTTGAAACCGCCGCGCCCCCCCCGCGCGGCTGTTCCGGCAGCGCCGCCACCACCCCCCCCGCGCCGCGCGCCGCGCTTAAAGGGGCGATGGCGGCGGGGGGAGGCGGTGGGGACCGCGCCGAGGAGGGAGGGAGGGAGGGAGGGAGCGGGGCGGCGGCGGGGAGGGGGACACGGACACGGACACGGACACGGACACGGACACGGACACGGACACGGGGGGCGAGGGCAGTGGGCGAGGAGGGTCACGGGCACCGCGGGGTGGGCACAGCGGGCACAGGGGGGCGCGGATGGGGCTGGGTGGACGCGGAGCCGAGGGGGTGGACGCGGGGACGCGAGGGCGAGGAGTGGGCACGGACACGGGGGACGCAGGCGGGGGGGGGGTGGGCATGGAGGGGCGAGGACACGAGGGGGGTCAGGGACACGAGGGGGGTGGGCATCCAGGGAGGGGGCACACGGGGGGTCAGGGACACGAGGGGGTGAGTTAAAGGGGCTGGGACACGAGGGGACACGGGCACAGTGGTCACGGAGGGACACGAGGGGGTGGGCGCGGACACGGAGGGTGCAGGGGGTGGACATGCGGCGGGGCGGACACGGACGCGAGGGAATGGGCACGGAGGGACACGGACAAGAAAGGGTGGGCACGGACATGAAGGGGTGGACATGGGAGGGGGGGCACAGGGGGACACGGGGGACACAGAGGGACACGGATGTGACAGGGTGAACGCGGAGGCGATGGGGTGGACTTAAAAGGGCAGCGACACGAGGGGATGGAGACAGGATGGTCATGGAGGGACACGAGGGGGTGGCCTCAGACACGCGACACAGAGGGACACGGATGTGACAGGTGGACGTGGACACGACGGGGGGGACACATGCGAGGGGTTGGGCATACAGGGACACGGACACGGGGGGGACACACGGACAGGAGGGGGACACACGGACAGGAATGGGAGCAGGTAGTCACGAAGGGACTCGGACACCAGGGGGCGGACACGGACATGGTGTGACACGGGGGACACGGGGGGACACGGGGGGACACGGGGGGGACACCGGGGGACAGGGATGGACACAGGGGTGGACGTGGAGGGACACGGACACCGGAGGGGGCTCGGACATGGGGAGTGGACACGAGCACGATGCACTCGGGACACTGAGCTGCAGACACGGGGAGGGGACACCGGGATGGGGACACGCACCCTGCCAGGGGACACAGCCACAGAGTCCCCTGGGTCCCACCCGGCCCCGGGGTCCCCTCACACTCGGGGGGGTCCCTGTGCTGCTGGGGGGGGTCTCTGTGCCCACGCGCGTGTCCCCCACCCCTCGGGTCACCGGGGCCACCGGGACGCTCAGCAGCGCCGGGGGGATGCTCAGCCCCCCAGGAAAGGAGCGGGGCTCTGCCAGGGGTCAGGGGGTGCTGACGTGGGGGTGCTGCCCCCCCCGCCCCCCCGGGGCCGGCTACGCCCTGGCCGGGTGACACGGGACAGCCGGACCCGCCTGTTCCTCTTCCCCACACCAGGCAGCAGCGGCCGGAGCGCAGGCGAGTGGGGCTGCCGTGCTTGGGAGGGGGAAGGGGGGCAGGAAATGCCCCACTGGGACCGCCAGGAGCTGCCCAGCCCTGCGATAGCGGCACTGGGGAGGGGGCCGGACTGGGCTGCGCTGGTTTGCACTGGGAGGGGGGATCCGGTGCCAATGGGGGTCTCCTGATTCCCGTTTCCCACCAGGCTCCCGCTGCAGTGGAAGGACCATGGGGGTCCCTGCGACCCCGCTGCTGCTGCTGCTGCTGCTCCCCGTGACCCCCATACTCCTCGTGTCCCCCTGTTTCCCTCTGACGCTGGACATTTCCCCAGAGCTGGACCTGACCAACAGCAGCAGCGGCTGTGCCGAGCTGGACTGGAGCCCGTTCGGGAGGCACCGCCGGCTGCTGCTGCGGCACAACGGCATCGAGGCCCTGAGCCCCTCGGCCCGCCTGGGGCCGCGGCTGGAGGAGCTGGACCTGGCGGAGAACCGGCTGCGGGAGCTGCCCCACGGCTTCTTCAGCAACGCCACGGCGCTGCGGAACCTGAGCCTGGAGGGGAACCCCCTCCCCGCCGTGCCCCCCGCCGCCTTCCAGCCCTCGCTGCGCTCCCTGAGCGTCTCCTGCCGCTGCGACGTGCTGGGCACCGTCCTGGCCCCCTGTGCCCGCAGGGGGATCAGCTGCCGGTGCCTCACCTCGCACGGGCATCCCTTCAACGTCACGGAGTTCCACGGCCGGGAGTGCGGGCCGGGCGCGGGGCTGGTGGCAGCGCTGGCGGCCGGGCTGGTGGCCGGGGTGGCCGCGCTGGTGGCAGCGCTGGTGGCCGCGGTTTGGTACCGGCGGAGGAAAGCGGGAGCCGCGGTGGGCGGCGGGGCAAGGGGGAAGCAGGATCCCGCCGGGAGCCTCCGCCAGCCCCGCTACATCAGCCGGGACACCGGGAGCGGCAGCGCCGCCGATGCCACCGACGGCCCCGACTACGAGAACGTCTTCGTGAGTCCCGGCCGGGCCCCGGCGGGATCGGCCCCGGCGTGGCAGGAGCCGCGCTACAGGTGAGGATCCGGCACAGGGAATGGGCATTCCAGGGATGTTCCACCCCCTCCCTGCTGCGCTGTGCCCCCATGTGTGGTCCTGCCCCATCCGGCCTCATCCCGCTCCATCCTGTGCTGAACCTGCCATCCCATCCAGCCCTTTACATCCTCATCCCAAACCATCCCATCCTACCCCATCCCATCCCATCCAGCCCTTTACATCCTCATCCCATCCCATCCCATCCCATCCCATCCTCATCCCACCCCACCCCATCCCACCCCATCCCATCCCACCCCATCCCATCCCACCCCATCCCATCCCATCCCATCCCATCCCATCCCATCCCATCCCATCCCATCCCATCCCATCCCATCCATTCCCATCCCATCCTGTTCATCCTTCCCACCCTTCCCACCCTTCCCATGCCCTCCCAGCCGTGGCATTCCCTGTGCCAGCCCCCAGGTCCTGCTGCACGAGGATTATTTCCTGGAGGGCGCGGCCGATGCCGGGGACCAGCCCATCTACGCCAACACTCTGGGCGCCACCGAGGACATCTACCTCACCCCTGACCCGTGAGGGGCTGGGGGGCGCCGGGAGGCCTGGGGGCACCCTCTGTGTCCCTTTCCCTGGCCGTCCCCCAGCCCAGAGGGGACGGGGACGTTCCCCTGCGGGGCCACGCGTGGTTCCCACGCACATCCTGTGGCAGCGCCTTCTGCGGGGTTTTTTGGGTTTTTTGGCAGCCCCGGCTCCCTCGTTCGCCCCAGTTCTCAGGCGGAGCTGAGGGCTGAGCTGACGTTTCCTCCCGGGGCTGCGGCCACCGACCGCGGGGCCGCCTCGGCCGCATCCGCCGGCAGCGGCACCGGAGCCGCGGGGCCGGGGCACGGCCGGGGCCGCGGGAGGAGCCGGGGCCGGCTCGGCACGGGCTCAGCGGGGCTGACCACGGCCTCGGCTTCCTCTTCCCCTTTCGAGCCGATGGAGAGCTCGCCTGGCGGTTGGGGACATCCGGTGCCACCTGCTCAATCTTTTCCTGCTAAATCTGCTGCTTTGGGGAACAAAGAAAAAGCAAAAGCTCCTTTTTTTACTCCTCCTGGTGAGGCCCAGAGCTGTTGGGGCATAGGGAGCCCATGGCTTGTCTGGGTGTCCCCCCAGCCCCTGGGAGGACTCACTGTGCCCCATTAAATGGTTTCATTATCTCTAATTACCGGCCTAGCTCGTGGTCTGTGGGAAGCCCTGGGCAGGACATGGGGTTTTCCTGGGGGTTCCCAGAGTCTGTGTCCCCAAAGTGGGGGTCCCAAGGGACCAAAAGCCAGGTTTGTCCAGGCCCTGTCCCCAGAGAGGCCATCTCAGCTTGCAGCCCTCAGACCCTGATCCCCAAATCCCCCCCCAGAGCAGAGATCCCGTATTTCACCTGCCCCAGGGTCCCCAGCAGGAGCTGCCGAGCCCAGCACAGCCCCAAGAGGGGACAGAACGGAGCTGTGACAGCAGAGCCACCCCATGGGGCCGTGGGGAGCCCTTGGGGACACCGTGTGAGCCACCAACATCCCAGGGGGGTTCCCCCCATCCCTTTGGTGCCCCTGGGGCTGGAGGCACCTGGGAATGGGGCAATGGTCACCCCCAGGGGTCAGAGCAGTGCCCGGTGCCCTTCCCAAGGACACAAACAACTCAAAGGTCTCTGGGAGCAGTGCCCAGGCATTACTCACATGCTGGCACTGGAAACCCCTGAGGATTTACCAGCAAATCCATGTGGAGGCAGATCCCAGGGGAGCTGAGGGGCTGGGGTCCTGTCAGAGCCCCCCCAGGTGTGCAGGAGGAGCAGCCAGAACCCCTGTTACAATCACTTTATTCATGATTATTACATCCTTTGGGTTTTATAGAAATATATGAAACAGAAAACCACAAAAGCCCTTCCCTCTTCCCCCCCCCCACCAAAAAAAAAAAAAAAAAAGGATATTTTGCTATAAAATACAATAAGTTAGAAATAAATAACTGGGTTGCATAAATAAGTCTCTAAGCAGAGAAGAGGGTTTGGAGTGGGACATGGACACCTGGGCACGGACCCACCCCAGCACATCGGGGGTCTCTTGGGTGGGAAGGATCCACCTGCTCGATAAAATGTGGGTTTAAATTGGAATTATCTTGGTAGAGAGGTCACAACTGGAGATGCTGGGGCTGGGCTGGGTGGCAGAGCTGGAGACCCCAGGGCTGAAGCAGAGCCAGGGCTGGTGTGGAGCCACTTGGTGCCACAGGATCTGGATTTTGGGATGCTGGAGACCCCTTGGCTGAGCTCAGTGGTGCCACAGGACCCGGATTTTGGGATTTTGATGCTGGAGACCCCATGGCTGAGCTCAGTGCTGGATCCAGGGCTGGTTGGAGTCACTTGGTACCCCAGGATCTGGATTTTGGGATTCTGATGCTGGAGCCCCCGTGGCTGAGTGGATCCAGGGCTGGTTGGAGCCGCTTGGCGCTGCAGGATCTGGATTTGGGGATGCTGGAGCTGCCAGGAGTCGGGATGGCTTTGCCCCGCCGGGACGGGCAGAGCTGCAGCTGTCAGGCACAGTGGCACCTGGTGACCAGCATGTCCTCGAAGAGGCTGGACACCAGCCGGCCCTGGCTGTCCAGGTGCATCAGCACCATGGGGTCGTAGCCAGCAGGGACGCAGCAGGGAGCAGGGGCAGCCTTGGACAGGGAGTGCACTCTGGATTGGATCTGGGCGTGCATGCTGGCCGGTTTGTAGTTGTGCGGGCAGGAGCCCTCGCAGAACCTCATGTGGTAGCTGTTGGGGGCGATCACCCAGTCGGCCCAGCCGATGTCCTGGAAGGAGACCCTCAGCGACTTCAGGCAGCACCTCCCGTCGCTCTTCCCGCACTCCTCCTCCAGCCCCCGAGCTCTCCTGGCCGCCCGAGGCGGCTTCTCCAGGGTTTGCACCTCCAGCTCCAGCGTTTCCCCCGCGGCGGTGGCCAGGGCGCCCGAGATGTCGGCGCTGAACTCCAGCTGCAGGCGCAGCGCGGGCTCGGGCCCGGCCAGCCAGGGCTGGATGGCTCCTGTCAGGTCCAGGCTGAGGGAATCCCGCGGCAGCTCCTGGCTCTGCAGCAGCCGGGGGGTGCCCCCGGCCCCCGGCAGGGTGGAGATGGTGACCCGAGGTGGCACCGAGGCGCCGGGAGGGGACAGCGGCTGCTTGAGGAGCTTCAGCTCCGCCTGCACCACGCGGAGCTGCCGGTGGAAATCCGCGGTGCGGGACAGCAGGAGGTGGTAGCGGTAGGGGCCGAGGGGCTCCCGGTGTCCCTGGGGGTGCCGGTGGCCTTGAGGGTCCTGGTGTCCCTCGGGGATGTCCAGCCAGGGCAGCACTGCGGGGACAGAGGTGACAGCTGATGTAAGAGACAGGAATTCCTCATCAGCCCGGGCTTGGGATCAGCTCCGGCCGGGCAGCCAAGCCTTTGCTTCCAGGGAATCACCCTCATCCTGAGGGATGCTGGAAACTCCAGCCTCCCATCCATTCCCGGCTGGAGGGTCTCAGCTTTCCTGGGGCCAGAGAAGGCGTCCCAGGACCCACCGGAGCACCCGCGCCCAGCCCCCGACTGTCCCCACCCAGCCCAAGCAGCAGGAGGGGAATTATTTAAATTATTTAATTTAAATTTGTATATTCATTAACTTATGTAATTATTGAAGTCCCCTCCAGACGCAGGTAAACCCCCAAACTGGAGCAGAAGCTGGGGATCGGGGGATGGCGCCTCACTTCCCCCTCCCGCTCACCCCCAAACCCCTCGAGCGCCGCTCCGAGCCCCCGACCTGGCTGATCAAAGCTTTCACCCCCGAAGCCGCTGATTTTTTTGTGGTTTTAGGCAAAACGGCTCCAGCGGCGGCTCCTCCCCACTTCCAGGGCAAAGGAAGGAGCAGGACGAGGATGAGCGCGGCCACGGTGCTGCATGCCCGGTCATGTCCCCGGGGTGACATTCCCGGCGCCGGGACACGCTGCGACACCGTGCGGGGGCCACGAGGGCCGGGGGTGACACGGAGCCACGGCCACTTACAGGTGGGGGTCAGGCGGTGCAGCCTGGGCACGGCTTCCTCCTCCTCCTCCTCCTCCTCCCGGCTCCGGTTCCCCGCCAGCTCCGCCACTTTGCGCCGGTAGAGCCGCTGCGCTCTCTGGATGCTCTCCCGGTCCAGGCGGTGCCGGACGGCGGGGGGAGCCGGCATCCCCAGCCGCTCCAGGATCTCCTTTTTGACGGCTTCCAGCTGGAGCCTGTCCTGGTTCCGCGTGTGGGGCCGGGAATGCGCGGCCCAGAGCAGCAGCAGGAGCTGCAGGCAGGTGAGGGCGGCCCGCGGCATCGCTCCCCTCGGCAGCATCCTGCGGGAATCCGCCGGCTCCGGGGCAGGATTTGCTCCCAGCTCCTCTGCAAAGGCTGGACGCGCTGCTGCCGGCCGCGCTGGCAGGGGAATGAATGAAGAGGACCAGACCTGACTTTATAGGAGCCGAACTTTGCCCGCCCTCCGTCCCCCCTCCCCGAGGGTGACGCCGGAGAGAACTCCCAGCAGGAATTTCTGCTCTCCGCTGGGATTTCCAGCAGCAGCTCCGAGAGAGCTGGAGCCGGGTGATGTCCGAGCTGGTTTGCAGCTGCGGAGATTAAAGAAAAAAGGAAATATTCCTTTTCAGACCCAAACATTTCCCTTCTACCTGCGCTTTTCCCCGCGGATGGCGCGGCTCGGGGAATCCCCCTGGGGGTGATGGAGAGGGGATGATGCGCGAGACGGGAGCGTCCCAAGCACGGGGTTCCCATCCTCGCGTCCTCAGCCACCTCTCCTGGCCGGCACCTCGCGGCTCGGGTCGCTGTTATCGCGATCCGCGGCTCGGGTCGCTGTTATCGCGATCCGCCCCTTCCCAAAATCCCAAAATCCCAAAATCCCAAAATCCCAGCGGAGCGGGGGGAGGATCGGGACCCGACCTTGTCCCACCGGACAGGTGAGGCCGGGGGATGGGTTCGGGGAGCCGGGATCCTTCTGAGGCAACCGTGGCCGGGGTTACGTCATCCCAAAGGGAGGCAGCCGGGACGGAGCCCGGGCACGCCGGTGGCACGGATCCAGCGGGGCCAGAGCGGGGCTGGGCAGGGCAAAGCCGGGCTGGCAGCGACCCCCGGGGCCAGCGCTGCACCGCCCCTCTCCCGGCTTCTCCTCAGGGATGCTCGGACCAGAAAACCGCGAGCACAGGGATGAGGAGCCCCCGGTGGCCGGAGGAAACGGGCAGGGCCCCCCGGGGCAGGCGAGGCCATTCCCGAATGTCCTGAGTCCATCCAAGCGCCCCGGCTGCGGCGCTAACCCTGACCCTAACCCTAATCCTAACCCTAACCCTAACCCTAACCCTAACCCTAACCCTAACCCTAACCCTAACCCTAACCCTGCTCCCGCCGGGGAGGAACGGGCGCTAATCCCGTGATTCGCGGCTGTTTGTCCCGCTCCAATCCCGTGATTTACGGCTGTTTGTCCCCGCTCCTCCGCCGGACTCCGCTCCAGCCCTGCCCCGGCTTTTCTCACCCGGGCTCTCAAGGGGTTGCCTGAGGCAAAGCCTAAAACACGGGGAAGAATTTTCACCCTAAAACACGGGGAAGAAGTTTCACCCTAAAACACGGGGAAGAAGTTTCACCCTAAAACACGGGGAAGAAGTTTCACCCTAAAACACGGGGAAGAAGTTTCACCCTAAAACACGGGGAAGAATTTTCACCCTAAAACACGGGAAAGAATTTTCACCCTAAAACACAGGAAAGAAATTTCACCCTAAAACATGGGGAAGAAATTTCACCCTAAAACACAGGGAAGAAATTTCACCCTAAAGCACGGGGAAGGGGAAGTTTGTCCGGATGAGCAGGGCCATGTGGAGGGGATTGCCCCGGCTCTGGCTCTGCTGCCCTGCTCTGGATCCGTCCTTGCAGGATGGGTGAGGAGGAGCAGGAGTCCCCCAGGTGCCCTCCCCATTTCAGGGCTTTTCCCACGTGTGGCTCACAGGGGAGGCTCAGGTTTATCTGCAGGGTTTTATCCCGTGTGGGCCATCACCCATCGCCCTCCAGCAGCTGGGGAGGGGTGAACCCCCCTCCTGGAGCACCTTCCCACAGGGAACCCCCAGAGCCCCGGGGCTGCTGGGATTCCTCTCCCAGGGATTTCATCAGCCAGGGTGATTGCAGCCCTCAACTCCCCCAGATCCAGGCAGGAAAGGAGAGGGAGCATCACCCAGGAGGGCACCACAAGGGCAGAACCACCACACCCTCCCCTCCGGGCATCTCCATGCCCACACCAGCCACCAGCCCCTCCACCATGCCCAGGGTGCCAAATGTGCTGATCCAGAGCCAAAATGGAGCCCTTGGCACGTCTGGGTGCAGGAAGAGGCCCCGACCTTTCGGTGACATTGAGCAAGACCCGTCAGAAACCCCGAAATCCCGAGGTTCTGCTTTTGCAATGGATTTTCTGCGAGCCCCACATCCAGGAGTGACGCACTCCCAGAGCATCAAAGGGTGCTGGAGCCGGATGTTTTCCCCCAAAGGCGCCAGCAGTGGAAGCCAGAGATTTACAGGGCCATAAAAGAGGGATTTTGGGAGCAGTGGTTTGATCCTGAGTGAGGGATGATGAAATGTCCCGGCGTGTCCTCACCGGCCTGCGAGAGGGGATTGCGCAGCCTCTGCATCCCACGTTTCCTCAGCTCTTCCTGGACACACTCGGGGCTGGAGAGGGTTCATGGGGGCCTTTTCCCAGCAGGAAGGAGGTTCCTCTCCAGCCAATGCATCCCAGGGGGGTCCCTCATCTCAGCTCAGCTCTCCTTAGCTGAGAATATGGAGAGGATATGGAGAGAATATGGCTGAGAATATGGAGAGAATATGGCTGAGAATATGGAGAGGATATGGAGAGAATATGGCTGAGAATATGGAGAATAGAATATAGAGAATATAAAGAATATAGAGAATATCCTATAGAGAATATAGAGGATCCTCCTGGCGTGGATCTGGAGCAGGGGATCGCTGTTCCCAGGGAAAGAGCAGCTGGGATGGGCCGAGGGTGAGGAGCATCGAGCTCTGGGAAGTCCAGGAGAAGCTTTGGTTTCCACACTGGAAAGATGTGGAAGTGCCCAAGGGCAGCTGGGATGGGGCTTGGAGCATCCTGGGACAGTGGAAGGTGTCCCTGCCCATAGCAGGGTTGAGCTTTAAGGTCCCTTCCAACAAAACCATTCTCTAATTCCAAACAAATCACATTTTTCCCTTCTCCAGATGCTGGTGGTGGGTGTGGAGCCTGGTAAGGACACAGAGCAGGGGGCTCCAGAGGGGTCCAATTCCCCAAATGCGGGGAATTCCCTGCAGCTGCCTGAGCTGGCAGAAAATTTGGGGTTTTTTTTGCAGAGCTCCTTACCACAAGTGGCAAGAGGGGAAGTGCTGCCTTCCAGATTTTAGGGCTATCAGTTCCTCACAGCTGTTGAGCAAAGGATCCCCAAGAAGTGCCCAGAGACCTCTGGGAACTGGTGGCATCAGCCCTGGGAGCGACAGAGAGGGACCAGGTCCTTCCCACGCCCCGCAGGACCTCAGTGCTCCCAAACCCACTCGGGCTGAGCAAGGTGGATGCTGCAGGGGGGAGATTCCCTGGAAAAAAGGCAGTTCAGGGTTTCCCATGGTGTTCTTTTAATCAAAGGATAAGGGCTGGCTGCTGCTTCCAGCACAGGAAGCTCCAGGCAGCTCTTGGGGTTCAAGGGAAGCTGGAGGTTCCAGGAATTATTTGGGATGGGAAACGCCAGGTGGGGTTTGCTCCATCCCACCTCATTTCAGGGCTGGAGAGGGGCACAGAGGGACAGGATTCAGGGCTGGAGAGGGGCACAGAGGGACAGGACTCAGGGCTGGAGAGGGACAGGATTCAGGGATTCAGGGCTGGAGAGGGGCACAGAGGGCCAGGATTCAGGGATTTAGGGCTGGAGAGGGACACAGAAGGACACAGAGGGACAGGATTCAAGGCTGGAGAGGGACACAGAGGGCCAGGATTCAGGGACTCAGGGCTGGAGAGGGGCACAGAGGGGCAGGATTCAGGGATTCAGGGCTGGAGAGGGGCACAGAGGGGCAGGATTCAAGGCTGGAGAGGGACACAGAGGGACACAGAGGGACAGGATTCAGGGCTGGAGAGGGGCACAGAGGGGCAGGATTCAGGGATTCAGGGCTGGAGAGGGACAGAACTCAGGGCTGGAGAGGGGCACAGAGGGGCAGGATTCAGGGATTCAGGGCTGGAGAGGGGCACAGAGGGACAGAACTCAGGGCTGTCCCTCTGCTGCCAGCGTGGGACGGTTGGGAAGGCACAGCCCGAGTTTTCCCAGCGCTGGCTGCTGTCAGGACAGATCAGCAGAGTGGACACTGAGGTGACCTTTGGATGTTTCTAAATCAAAGCCAACCACGGTGGCTCAGCAAGAAAAAAAAAAGCAGCTTTTGCCCCGTCACGGCAGGAACCACATTTCTCCCCCTTCGCTGCGAGTTTACGGCATCTCCCAAAAATGAGACTTCTGCTCCACTTGGACAAAGAAATTCCTGCCTGGGCTGCACCCACGGTCAAAGATTAACTCGGATTCCCAACCCCCTCAGGCTGGAAAGGGCAGGAAATGCCTCTGGTCCGACCACCAAAAATGGAAATCTGCCTTGGGAAGTCCTCATCACCCCACTGTCACCTTCCTCTCTCTTTGGAGATGCTTGGGCACCAGGACGTTTGTGCTTCCCAAGGGGCAGCGCCCAGGGGCTTCCCCCAGGCTGGAGCCGTGGGGCTGGCTGGGAATGGGACAGGAAAATCCCATCCTGCAGCACAGAATATGGAGAATGTGGAGACTATGGAAAATATAGAGAATATAGAGAATACAGAGAATATAGAAAATATAGAAAATATAGAAAAGAGAATACAGAGAATATAGCGAATATAGAGAATATAGAAAACACAGAAAATATAGAGAATATAGAAAAGAGAATACAGAGAATATAGCGAATATAGAGAATATAGAAAACACAGAAAATATAGAGAATATAGAAAAGAGAATACAGAGAATATAGCGAATATAGAGAATATAGAAAATACAGAAAATATAGAGAATATAGAAAAGAGAATACAGAGAATATAGCGAATATAGAGAATATAGAAAGTACAGAAAATGTAGAGAATATAGAAAAGAGAATATGGAGAATAGAATATAGAGAATATAGAGAATATCCTATAGAGAATATAGAGGATATAGAGAATATAGAGAATACAGAGAATATAGAGGATATAGAGAATATAATATAGAGAATATCCCATAGAGAATATAGTGAATATAGAGGATATAGAGGATATAATATAGAAAGGAGAAT